GATTTAGGCATTCGTTTTGTAAGTACGGACTTGATGGTTTGCTTTCTCTCTTTACTCGTTTGCTCAGCGTGCTCTCTCCCTCCCTCCGACCGCCTTTGTTAATTATTTGCCATTAAAGATTCTTGTAAACGTTATAATATCAAAAGTTATTAACAATTAAAGAAAAATGATAAAAAAATTTCAAACGGCTATATTTAAAAACTAATAAAGATATCGATAAAATAAAGAGATAAAATAAAGAGATTTTTTTCAAAATACTTATTATGCCTTAAATGTTCGAAATAATTACAACAATAAACAATAAAACATTTTTTTCGAAAGTTATTAACTTTTGTTTAAACAATTGCTAATATCTGAAAAAGTATTTTTTTTTTTTTTGAAAAATTCTTGCTCCTGCATGTTCCTGAAGATTTTTACTATCGAAATCAGTCATAAAATTCAAAGACCCGACATATCGGAAGGCGTAGCCCTAGTCAAAAGAAGATGCCTCGGTGTACGTCGCAACGGCAGCGGGATGTCTTCGTGGTCTTATGCTTAGGCGTTTTCTTCTAATTAGGGCTACACCTTCCGATATGTCGGGCCCTTGAATTTTATGATTGATTTAGATAGCAAAAATCCTCAGGAATACGCAGGAGCAAGAATTTTTCAAAAAAAAATATACTTTTTGAGATATTAGCAATTTTTTAAACGAAAAGTTAATAACTTTTCGTTCCTAAGGGTAACCTAAGGGTTACAAGTCAATCGAAATAGCCAAGATTTACCCATATACTACTTTTCGGTACTATGGTATATTCTGGATATTGCAAAAGCTCGTTATTACGTCTTAACACGAAGCGTCTTCCTCTGGCTCGTTGTTGCGCCACTATGAGTCCGGGTATTACAGGACCTAACAGGTGGTAACCTATCTTCATTGTACCCTTTTCGCCTCTCTTATCTTTCCCTTACTTTAGTTAAGTTGAGTTACTAATTTCAGATGTACGAATTTCAGGTTTCAAATTTTAACATCGCCATTCTTTTCTGGCTCAATTTCAAAATTACAAATTTCAAATTGTTTATTTCCAAATTAACAGTTTTCGAATTTTCGCAAATTTACTCCAATTTTATTTGAAAGGTTGTTTTCAGAATCACTCCCAGTAACTTGATTAACATTATTTTTACCAGCCTCAAGACCTGTCTCTATATCTTCATTGCTTTCTCTATCATTGGTAGCTGTTCTCGCAAGTCTATCAAAACTGTTACAAATCCTGACTTAATTTTTGACTATTTTAGCGTAAGTTTTGCAATTTATTGTTGATTTAGAACAACTATTACTACCTTGCGATGTCATAATTTGATTATCGGTATTTGTATTGTTGATTAAGAAAAAATATTATCAGCATTTTTCAGAGTATTGCTTTTATAATCTATTCTAGCGTTAAGCTTACACAAACATTCACTACCAATTAGTCCATCTTCTTCAATAGGAAAATCATCGGGTACCATATGAAATTCGAATTAAAAATCTTCTATTTCAATATTTATTTCCTCTAATGTTGCTACGCTGTTATGTGTAATGTCTCGTAACTCTAAAATGTTTAATTTGTTTAGATATGCTTCCGCAGGTTTCTTAGACCATTCGAGTAGAGATTGTCCAGTATCAGTATCGAGCATTATAGAAAGACTAATATTTTGACTTTTATCTCCTAAAATGAAAGTTGGTGACTTACTATTCAAGTTCAACAACACCAATCTTTTCGTTACTTCTAATTTCTTTGTATTCCTACTTATGCTCGGCACTCTGTCTGGTCGCTCGATTCCCTGGTCGCGCCCGTCACCTGAAAACCACTGGCGTTTTCCTGTTGTTATTTTTGTTCGTTGGAAATTGTTTTGTTATGTCTAATTTTCCAGTGATCTTTAATACCGCAATAATTACAGGCTGTCAGGTCTCTGTTTGGGTTTCCTAGTTTGCGATTATTAGAATTAAAATTTCCCTGGTATTGATTTTTTGGTGCGGAGTTCTCACTTGCTTGGGGCAGGGCTACTTGCTGAATAACTCTATTGGCTGAGTTTTGACTATCCATTTGCTTTGCCCTTCGTTACTAACAAATCTTTCGTTTCTGGATTTTATACAGCCGTTGTTACGGTAAAAACAAGTATCTGCTGAATGATTTGTTAACTTACAAATTTGACATGCTTGTGTGTTATCTGTTTTTACTACTTTTACACTTTTTATGTTTGCTAGTTATTTTTTTGCTTCTGCAAGTACTTTTACTATCTAGGTAAGATCGTTGGGTTCTTATGTTGCGAAATCGCGTTCCATCTCTACCGCTTTTACTGTTGCTTCTTCAAGATTTTTCGCCTGTCCCATTCGTGTTCAATCAGCCAGTGTAAGCCGTGGATGAAAAAAATTTGACTTTATCCTTTTTTAGCTGGTTTAAACATCCTACGTTATATCTTTTTTCACGCACTGCTATGCTTACTAATTCTCGCACTACTGTTTTAACTCTCTCTGAAAATTTTACTACGTTTTCCGAGACTCTTGGCTTGAACATAGTCAGCTCATCCGACAGTAGATTGAAGGTTTTGTCTGATTCGAATAGATGATCTTAGTATATTTCAATTTCACTAATTATTTCAAAATATTTTTCTCGCATACTTTTTAATGCATCCCCGTACAATATCATTTTAACTAATCTTGCCAGATCTTCTTCGTTTCCGTGTGGAATAACATTATAGGCTTTCCAACAGCTGTCTAAAAAATCATGTAGCGGAATACAGAATCCGTCGTATTTAGGAATGAAATCTACAGTATCTTTCAAATCTACATTTATCATAGGGCTAATTGTAGAATTTTGCACTGTATGCGTTGAATGTTGTGGTGTTGAATGATAAATCGGTCTTGTATTCGCAAATGTTCTGAATGTCGACTTGGGTGTAAAATATTCTGTATAACTACTTTTCTCGTTTTGATTAATTACTCGATCACTGTTTTCGTTAAGATTTGGCATTGAAAATTTTACATTTTCTGATTCATACCAGGTATTTCGTTTCGTATTTTATTTATCTCGTCGTCATTATCATCGTCAATTGTCAAGTTTGCCAGAGATTGGAATAATTCTCTTGAGTCGTCATCTGTTATTTCCGCGGTTAACACAACTATTGGTTCAAACTTATTTTCAAATTGTACTACTTTTTCAGTGTGAAATTTTAGAAGCAGTGCTTCTAAAATTTCTTTCGGGCTTATATTGCGTTTCGTTAACTCTTCTACAATAAGCTGTAAAAGTGGATCTTGACATATATTTTTTATTAACTTTCCATCTATATAATGTTCTAAAATTTTTATTAATTTATCTAGTTTTTGTTGTTGATTGCCTTCTATTTCTTAACCTACATCCTGACGAGCGTGCAGAAATTTTATAGCTTCCAATAATGTTGTTTCTTTACCGGTAATTTGTATCTACTTTTCTTATGCAGTTTTTTAAAACTATTAGTGCTTTCGCGTTTTGTTTGCCTTATGTATCAGCCACCATAGCCATGTCGATTTTGAAAAAAAAAATTTTGCTTAATCCTACTTGTGTTAGTAATAAAAACCTGAAAGGGTCCCTAACTGTTACGTATTATACAACAGCCGCGGATTGAAAATAATTACTCAATCACGACTGTCTCTTCGATCAACGCGTAAGCGTTTTACTACGGGTATGAGACTAAGCAAGAACAAGCTGGAAATAAAACTAACGCGGCGACTAGAAAAAAGTAACGATTAATATAAATAGATTTACCTGTAGGTTGATTCATTGTATAACTCGTACTGTAGAATCCAGGGATGGATTGTAGTTATTAAGTAGGCGCAAGACCTTTTTTAATTTAGAATAAATGACAAGTGGTATTTTACTTTTAAATTTATTAATGAGTACAAGTGATACAGAGACTTCTGGAGTCTTCCGTAGTGTAGTACTAAGTAAATTTAACAGGCGCTCTCTTACCTCTTTTATAGGGGAAAACATAAATTTAACATATAAAGGGTTACACCCATAAGGAGAGCGCGCATCACCAAGAACAAGGTTTTAATTATGCATTACTCCGATTGAAGGAATTACCCCTCCACAAAAATTAAAATTTTCCGCTTTTATATCGCCTGACCTGTTTCCGACGTCACATCCCTGTGACCTTAACTATTTCGCGCAATTTTATTTTTCGGTCACTGAACACCATATCGTGGATTCTATTGATCATCTCCGTAGTGCTTACATCAACAGAACGGTCAGTACGATGTTTATCTGCAGTCGATGTATGGCCACGTTTAAATTCATTTACCCAATTGTAAACAGTTGCAAACACAGGGATAGATACACCATGAACTGTGTCTAACTCAGCTTTAATTTCTATCGGTGTTAGGCCTTATGAATAGAAATATTTTATCACTGCTCGGAACTCACTTTTTTTCATTCTTAACAAAAAACAGAAGTTGTTCACTCTGATTGACGATAAGAACGGAACTACTGGATGGATTTGGCTTAAACTTTGGCAGCACTCTATTTAATTGTACACTTTTTGGTGGAACATAAGTTGGGATACTTTGAGTGTCAATGAAGATTCATTTCGTTTACTTTTCTGTTTTTGCTCCCCTGCTCTATCTTTTTTGTCGTCAAACGCTCAATTCCATTTCTGTATTTTTATAAACAAAATTTATATCTAAAGACATGGTATAGATAAACATATTTCTAGACATCAATTTATAAACAATAAAATTATAGTTTTAAATTTAATGAAGCTATACAAAAACATTATTTTCCAGGCATTAAAATTGTTTTTGTTTAATATTATTCCGTTTGAATGCCATTACCCTTAGTTATTAATTATTATGACTCTAGTTTCATGGAATATTTGAATCATGTTCTACTTTACTTTTATTAGATCATGGTTCAGAATACTCATAGAAAACTTTTAGTGCATGTTACATTAATGAGCATCAAAACATTATATTAAGCAATACAAAATTAAACTGTTCAATAATTTTGCAGTGCAGTATACGCTATATGATCCTGATGACTTGAAATTGGGAGTTCATGAAGTTAGACTCACGACTGGAACCATTCTAAGTATTTTCTTGTTTAGTATTATCCTGTTTATGACAATCTTGGCCACTTGTTACAAGTATAGTTTGAGAAATAAGTTGAAAAGTATCAGTTTTTATAATCCAGTCTACAAAAAAAAATCAGTAGATTTGTTTAAACTGGACAAGAGACAGTATTTATTTATTACAAGTATTCAAGAAGAAATCAAATGAAATTTTCACGGTTTCTTTGAATATGGGTATACATAAAACATAAAAATTTCAGTCATATCTTAAATATATTAAAGTTAGGAATGAATTCATTGAAATTTTACTTGTATTTGGAAACGTACAGGATTAGAACTGTCATTCAACTAATGAAAGACTTGAGATACCATATACGATCATTGCTAATAAAGACATATCTAAGACAAAATGTTAATTATTCATTAATTCCAATGAAATATTTTATTAATAAAATCGCCTAATTATAAGCATACTTCTATTAGCGAGATTCTTAAAACCCAAACCACACATGTTTATTATTTAAATAAAAGAGCTAGGAAAAAGGGAGATTATGAAATTTTTCATGTTTTGAAAAAGCGATTAACATATTAATTCTTTCATTACTTATCCAACTCATAACATTAAAAAAAAATAATGTTAACCGTACTGTGTTGATACATGTTGATACAATGTTAATAATGTACTGACAATTTAATTTAATACAGCATCAATAAATAATATTAAACGTTTTATTAACAATTATCCTGCAAATAAAAAACAAATCACCAATATAAATACATCAATCATTCTGACTTCAAGTTTTGACTTTTTAGTTTGCCTAGCATAATCCATTTTCAGAAACATTATTGCAATCAAGCTTATAATGAGAATTAGCTCATTATGTCTCTCTCTCTCCTCAGTATCATTACTATTGTTATATTATTACTATTTCCTATTCTACATATGTATAGCGCAGCAGCAGCAGCAGTATCAGATGAAAGGTAATAGAGAGACACATTGACGATAAGGAGAGAGAGGCTCGCGAGTATGCGTATGGGTATGTGTGAGGTCCGCGCGACGAAGAGTAGAAGGGACATAAGGAACAGCAATTAGCTGGCGGTCTCTCAACGAGAGAGTACGTGTTGCACACCTTGTGGCTTTCTTTTTTTATTTGTGTGATCCTTCTGACGGTTTCTTGGTGTGCTCTATTGTGCGGCCTTACCTCATCACACTTCCGAGCATCTTACCGAACTGTGGGGGTGTGATAGGTGATTTCTTTCGTAATTGTTACAAGTGCTATTAGTGCAATTGTGCAAAGCCACTGCCACGATCGTTGTTGCGACGACCAAGAGGCTTGAAAGTACCAAGCAAGCGGCAACACGCATCTGCGTCTTTTTGAAGGCTGGACCAGAGTATCATTTCAAAGTATCTGTTCGATCTTTTCTCTCTCTCGCTTGCCTGTCTTTCTCTCTCTGCCACCACTATATACACTTCGTTTTTTTTCAGTTTCTGCATAAACATATTTTATTTACACTACTTTTTATTTTTGATTCACGTCTGACTCATCCTTGATATTATAAGATGAGTTCCTGTTACGAAATCCACGACGCTGATCGCGGGCATGGAGTCATTTTCACGATATTACTGCAGATCACCGAGCAAGGCCTCATTCGATCTTTGCACGCTCGCAACGAGCTGCTATTTTTCATTTGTTCTCTCGCTTTTCTAATAACGGAATAATAAACCATTATAAACTCATATATCTGTATTATAATTATAATTAGTTTCAGTATGTGACAATAAAAAGATATAAAACTTGATTAATTTACCCTTTTTGTTCATATAGCATGAAATCCATGTAACTTTAATCTTTTTTGAAACTCTATTTCACCTAAAAAAAGAAAAAAAAGTCTGCATAAAGAAAAAAATCTCTAGAAAACATTGAAAATTGAAAAACCACGAAATTTACGCTTTTTTCAAGCGTGATGTCACGGGTGCGACACCCGAGATCCTGTAGAGATGCTATTCTTGGTTTTGAGCTTTTTGATCACACCTCGTATGTGGAACAATAGTAGGAAAAGATAAGTTCCTTGACGAAGATGTTATTATTGATGATAAACGCAATACTAGGAATATTTTAAGAATACTCGCCAATGATGATCAGATAAGAGAAGAAAAAAATATTTAAAGAGCTTGATCGTACCATATTAGAGAAGGCAAAACAAGTGAAAAAATAAGTTACATTAAGCGATTAATTAGGTAACACATGTTTTTGGCCCACATGACTTCGGGTTGCCAAATAAACCGCTCAAAGCGACACATCTTGTCACCCACAAAATAGTCATTATTGGTGACAAACCAATAAAAGTAAAACGGCATTGACACCCTCCTGCTATGAAAGAAATTATGCAGAATGAAATTTAGAAATTACAGGAGACAGATATTAACAGCCATCCCATTATCCATACAATTTTCGTATGTATATAGTACCAAAATAGCTAGATCTAAATAGTCAGAAAAAGTGGCGAACAGTGATGTATTTTCGCCAACTAAACAAAATACTGATTAGAGATGCCCATAATTACAGATATAATTAAGAATGTTGCGTTAGCTTAATTAATATCGCTTGTTGATTCTTTCAAATTTTCATGGTCTACATCCTGGAGATACAAGATAAACAGGATTCTCGAATCCACATGATCACTTTAAATACAAGCGAATAGGCATGAATCTAAAAAATGTCCTAAGTACTTTTTAGCGAATGATGGATTTCATATTCGCGGGATTACAAGGTCAAGAATTACATGTTTACCTTGATGATTTTATAGTCATGTCTCGCGATTTGAGAGAACATGAAATATGCTTTAATAGGCTATTGGCGAAACTAGATGAAGCCAATTTGATGATTGAAACAAAAAAGTGCCAATTTTTGATGAGAGAAGCAACAGTCTTATGACACATTGCAAATAACGGGACGAATAAATCCGATTCTAGGAAAATTGAATACGTGAAAGTTTATCCTGTGCCTACTAAAAACAAAAAGGTAAAACAATTTTTTATAGTTTACATCATACTATAGAAAATTTGTGAAGGACTACGCAAAAATAGCTAAGCCATTGACGACGCTGATTAATCAAAAATGCAAATTGAAATGGCAAAAGGATAAATAAAAAACTTGCGACGTGTTCAAAAATAAACTTATTAGTGAGCCAGTTTTGATAGCACCCGCTTTGACATAAAATTTCATTGTCATCTGTGACGCATTAGACTTTGCAGTAGGAACAATTTTAAGTCAAAGTAAGATAGGTTCAGTACGCATATACCTCCCAATGTTAAGCAGTCTCGAATTAAGATATTCGACGTATGATAGGAAGTTAACAGCTATCATATTTGCGACAGAACAATTTAGGCACTTTTTTCATGGGTGAAAATTTACCGTCATCAGCGACCATGAACCAGTCAAACATGTTCAGACGATGAAAAAGCCTGATTTACAGTTCAATCGTCTCAAAGCAAAACTTTAAGGTTTCAAGTTGGAGATCATATATTATTAGGTACGAAGAAATGAACATGCGAACGCACTCTCATGGAATCCGGTTATACCGAAAGGCGAAGACAACCCGAAACACCACCAGCCGAATTACATGAACTCGCCGATAAATAGAAGAAACAAAAATCATGCCCACCACTAGCACGATTATAATACATAACAAGAGCGAAAAAGAGAGCACGCAAAAAGGTATTAAATAGTACTCAAACAATGACCGATGGAGACAGGAAACGGAAAGTCCGAAAAAAACGAACTGATGATACTAGCAAAGAGGAGAAAGCGAGGCCTTGCAGAATGGGTACAGTCATATACTTTGATTTCGAAAGCTCAAGTTCGGAAGAGATTTTAGTAAGAACACCTCGAAAGCGATACTTAAAGAAGCGACTGACAGGTCAGAAATTTCCACCCACTCAACCAAAGCAGAGATCAAGGGCATCATCCATTATTAGTCCGGGAAGTTTAAATCGACCACTATAAAGCCGATGCAAAGAGGACAATATTAAGTCTACAAGCAGGTAGCATAATATCACACCGCTTATTAAGGTAAATAAAACAAAATCTAGTGCTAAAGCAACGCACATTGATGAGAACCAAGCCTCAATTTAGTAATATGACGGAAGCAGGAAGCAAAAATAGTGCGAATTTAAATAACTCAACGGAGAAAGAAAAAGAGTTGACCACGGAAATTTCTGTTTTGGCAGTTGAAAATGAGCAATTAATAGTCGACGAACCACAAGATGAGCAAAGTATCACACAACAAGCAAAACAATTTAAAAAAAAATGTAACATAGAACGACGAAATGACGAGCCAATGGAGGCAGGCGATAGACATACGAGTAGTTTGATTTATTAAAATTTATGAAAAACTCAGTCAAGATAGTTTAACATAAAGAAAATAATAATATAAATAAAAGCTCGATACATAGTGGACGTGAAAGAAAAGCAATATGAGAAAAACCCTGCTTTTTAAATCAATATAAGGAAAACGATATTCCCAATGAATTAACATCAGATAATATGGGTAACTTTAAAAAGCAATGAATCCGATTCTCGGCACAGCAAATTATCCGAACTATAATTTGAAGGAAAAACACGTGTCAACGTCGACAAATCGAATAAATGAAATAAGAAGGAAGGTAGCAAACAAATTTATGCCAACAACAAGGAAGAGCTGAATATATACTATTAACTTCTCGATAGTCCACCATATTACGTGAATGAAACAAATTTAACATTAAGTCTGAGGCTAGCGAATGTTGTTCACCACACACAACATACAAAATGTGCGTATCCACGAATGAAATTTTAGTGCGACACATGCATTAAGGAGGAGGGAAACTGTCTATTTCTGTCATTATTGCGCGCATTGAAACTGATATATATACATAATGCTTAATCGATTACGGAAGACTTTGTTATCCAATGATAGTGACTGCGTACACATATTCTCAAAAATGATGTAAACGAAAATAACGACTTTCTGTATTTATATTTAGAGGGAACATATTACACACCTCTCATATCAAACAACTTTGAAGTGGAAGAAATGATTAAAATGTAGAAACAAAATAGGGAAAAGGTTACAAAAGACGCGCAAGTTCAGCCAAATAATGAAAAGAAGGAAACTCAAGTGAACAAAAACAGACGCGAAAGGACAAGTCATTGAGCATAATAAAAG